ATATACGCACATAATTTTCTAATTTTAAAAAATCAAGTTCTTACCAAGCGGTATTATGTATTCGTTTTTGCATACTTCCATCGTTGTCGCGTGTGACTCGAGATGTAGGGCGATAAGTAAGTCGTAAAATCCTTGTCGCAGGGGCCCGGACATGTATTCGGCTCGTATCGCGTATAACAATTGTTTCTGGTCAACGTGTTGACACAGAGCGTGCGCCGCACGATAATTCGATTGATAGCACAGAGCTGCGTACAGTGTCAATGTGTGCGCATGGAAACTGTGCAAAAGAAGTACATTGTTTTAACCACAGACTTCTATAAGTTTGTGACTTCTATAAGTTCATATAAGTCTGTGGTTTTAATATAAGAGAGAAAAGTTTAGGTAAAGGGAAAAATATTTTTTTAATTTTTCGCCGCAAATTTCTCGCCAATATCTTACCTGAGCAGCTTATCCATCTCGATAAGCTCCAAAATATCGATACATCTATCTTCCTCTGGTATATGAAGAGCCAGCATTGAGATAGCGTCCTCGCATAGCATTGACCAGCCTCTGATGTCAGACAGCTTCAAGGCGTGTACTTGAAGAGACTGATTTGGCACTCTGGCCCATTGGTGTGGCTTGAGACATTGCACTTTTAATCTTGGCGGAAATTGCGGTATCACGTGTCGTTCAGAATTCTGCAGTACAGCTGCCGATAGTGGAAGCGTTGTCGAGGTCCTGCCGAGTTCGATCTGTAGGATCTCTTTGCTGGTGGCTTCAACGAAGATTGCTGGGAACAGTTTCGTGTCTGGCTCCATCTTGAATTTGTGACTCGTTTCTTTCCCTTCACAAGTGAAGGATACCCAGCCTGTGGCAGTATCAACAAAGCATCCAACGAACATACCCTGAGATGCGCCCTTGCCCGATGCATCTTGAGTGACTTCGTTGTACAGTTCATCCGCTCGAACCATATAACAACTTTGTCTGTCGACTCTGCAATGTTGTAACATTGTTTTTTAGATGAGCATCATTATAATTATATTTCTAGCAAAAATTCTGTAATAAAAAATATATTAAAACCTACTGCTCTACGAGACGATCGTAATCATCTATAATCGCAACGGAAGCTTTTCTCACGCGGGATAAATTGAAGTCCTTCGTGTGCAGATGATATTGCGAAGTAACCCAGCCAATGTAAACGTGAGTCGGATCTTGACCGGGGAATATCCTAACGCCATAGAAATATTCATTCATTAGTTTCATGCACTCAGCGTCGAAGATTTCATTGCCGATCGCTTCGACGCCACTTCCGGTTAAAACAGACATTGCCTTGGGAACGTTACGTTCTGGGATTTGTGGCGGGACGACTTTCAAGTCCGTCTATAAAGAGAAATAGTAGATATTATGAAATTCTTAATAGTCTCAAAAGTTGCAAATTGTCTGCGGAATTTATAAAAAAAATTTTTTTCAGATTTTCGTGAAGTTGTAAAAAATATCTGCAAGTACTATTTATTCAAATATACTTTTATGTATATATATATATATATATATATATATATA